GTGTGTGTGTGTTTGTGTGTGTGTGTTTGTGTGTGTTTGTGTGTGTGTGTGTGTGTGTGTTTGTGTGTGTTGTGTGTATTAGAGTGGTCTGTCTGGAAGATACTGATGGGCCAATAACACCTCATCTCAACTACAAGTTAACACAATGAAGCAATATTAACATCTTTTTTTCCTATTTTTCTATATCTATTGTTTAAATGCTTTCTATACAAACAAACCATATTTGCTCTAAAATGCGTCAGTGTGACTAAATATCACCAAACACAATGAAGCAATCAATCTTTTTGCTTCCTAATTTTTTGTTTATAATTTTATATCTCTTGTCTTGTGGCATCAAATAACAATATTTGTTGTAAATTGAACTGTGTACTGTAGGACGAAAATTGGTATCAACTTCAGTTACTAAAATAATAGTATTATCAATGGTTTTTTTGAATCAGTTTTCATTTCTTTCTTGTTAACAATTGCAATGTTTCTGTTAATTGGCTACATGAACCCCTAATATGCATTGGCAGCCTGACACAATTATCGAGCAAAACTGCAGCCAAAAGGAGGTTAATCAGCATATCACTAGATTCAGACAGCAAGGAAAAAAAGATCCACTTAATTGTTCCCATGACTGCCAATCGAATCCCTGGCAAAATTAACGCTTTAATAATTATTAAATTCTTCTAAGGCCGAGAGAAAGTTAAATAGAGACAGGGAAGTACAACGCACAGTTAAGTATGATCAAAATCAACGGGCTGAGAATAGCAGTGATAGATAGCGACATCCAAAATAAACGAACAAACAAATAAATAAAAATAGAAAAAAAGTAAAACTATGTCAACGAGATCGGCCTAAGTGAGTAATTGCTTTCGGATCGAAGTGGACTGAGATTTCGGTCTATAAGTATTGACCAACATTCTGTCTTATGTGACACATGCTTTTAGCTTTGATGTTTTGTTTTACACACCATCTGCAGGATATAAGTTGACATATTTCGAACTCGGCAATACAAGTATGGTTAATTGTTACGGAAACAGATCTTAGACAATCTTATCGTCCAAGGCTTTCGAATCTTGTGGGCCGTCGAAACTAGCATGTCCCTCGCTGTCACAGTCAGTGGCGAATTTATGTTCCTTCTATTTTTCAGGACATCCGAATTTCTTGGGGACCATTCCCAGACCCT